TTACATTGGTTATATATCAGTTTTAAAATCACATGCAAATGAACAATCAACTAATCAACTTAGAAGTGGTAATTTCACAATTTAACTTATTCTGCACTAACAGTGTCCTACATTTTAAAAACGCCAACAAAACTTAAATGGGCTCCTGACAAAGCCTTGAGGTACACCCTTACCATATTACTGTTTACAGAGCTTCAGAAAGAACATGAAATCTGATATTAAATAACAACCATGACCTACAGGTGACTCGACCTACTTTCCTAAGTTATTATATCAGCTCTGCGTTATGACACTCTTAATTTAAGCTTACAAACACTTAATACAGGCGCCTGAACCATCTACTAGTGTTAGCTGTGCTCGTTTAGAAACTGAAAATAGTAAGGTTAGCTATAAAAAGAGAAATACCAATCTTGGGCCTTTGTTGACAGGCTTGTGGATATAGAAAGTCGAATCCTTAATAACAGTAATATACCAACATCAGCCTACCGATCCAGCCAGAAGGTCCATGGAGAGTGCAGCGGCAGCGAGGTGCCGTCCTCGATGTGGTTGGTGATGTTTTCCAGCTCTCTCTCGTCGATGTGGATGTCGTTTTCTGTTGAGTTCACAGGGCTGCTTTGTCTCGCCGTGTTCAGCTGCAGGTTTGGGGCTGCAGGAACCGCCATTTTTGCTTTATTACCGCTAATCGATGTGTGAGTGTTTTGCTGGGAGATCTATAATAATCTCCACATCCACAGATAAACAGATTATTGATGCCGACTCGTTTGCCGATCGGCCCAAGTAGGTATAACTGCAGACCGTAGATCTCCAAAATGGGGCGTGAACTCCAAAAGTGGGCAGAACCTCCAAAATGGGGCGGGGTCTCTTCGCGCAAAGACTTTCACCATTGGCTCTGGCCAAATGTTATTGACTAACATTTCAAAATAAAACTTTATAAATTAAACATTGTTTCTAATTGATCTAAAATAAAATATGCTATATAAATAAACATTCTCCTTGAGAGCAGAGCCCAAAGCTCGTGGCCAGTGTTGTTCGGACCGGAGTTTGAACCTCTGCTTAATAAACGGGAATCACCCACGAGCTCTCCCGCCAGCCGTCCCAGCGCAGCGCAGGGGAAAGATTTTACTCTACCCCTTTGTTTTAGCCAACGGGGGCGTCCAGGGGCTCGAAGTTCGCAGGGAAGGAGGGGGTAGTGACGCTGGGTGTAATTAAAAAGGTGCCATTGTCCGGTGAAGTCCGGTTGGGGAGTTACGGAACGGCCCGGCTCGGCGATCTCATATCGCATAATCTTATTAAAGGGGTCATATGATGCGATTTCAATTCTTCCTTTCTCTTTGGAGTGTTACAAGCTCTTGGTGCATAAAGAAGATCTGTAAAGTTGCAAAGACTTAAGATCGGCTTTCACCGTGGACGAAGCGGAGTCCAGCCCGGGGTCGTCACATGTGGTTGCCGCAGGCATCACAGTATGGTGAGGGGCGTAACATTTCCGTCACACGCTTGAGGTATTCGGCCAATCACAATGCACTGGATAGCTGGCCAATCACAGCACACCTCGCTTTTCAGACCGATGAGCTTTGTAAAAATCGATGCGTTTCAGAAAGGCGGGGCATAGAGGAGAAATAATAATGTACATTACGTGGAAAATGTGTTTTTTGAACCTTAAACCACATAAACACATTTCATTACACCAAATACACAACATAATTTTCTTTTTAGCAACATATTACCACTTTAACTACTTATCTCCTGAACTTTCTTTACCACGCTATTCAGCGCCTATCCCGCCGTGCAGTCAATTTCACTGGCTAAGGTTAGGGTCAGGTGTGGGGTAGGCTTAGGGGTTAGCATTTATTGTAGCATAGTGTAGGAAATCAACACTGTGATTGACACAACCAATACAATCTTTAGAATCGGCTGTGGGGCGGAGTTTCCACTGAACTGGATTGGGAGAAAATACAGTTGTTATACCCTTCTCGATCGGCCGGCTGGACTGCCGCGTCACCGACACAGTCGGACTGGGGAGGTGAAGTCAGACGCAGCGCCCCGTCTTCTTCTTCTTCTTGCTTTACGGCGGATATCAGACTTATAAGTGCATTACCGCCACCTATATCTCAAATGGACCATTGACACTCTATCTACAATCTCCTGATTAACCTACCAACCCACATACAAACACCCTCGATCCTTGTACCCGCTTAGAGTCTTCATAGAGCTTCATCCGGCGCTGCGTGTTCAGCTCCTCCGTCCACGCCCCGTCTCAGCCGCACTTCAAAATAAAAGCATTCAGACGCATTTTAAAATAAGTGGTATTAATTTCAAAGGTTTAAGAGTTTAATCAGGCAAACCGCTGGTGAAAAAGCAATCTTAAACTGACAGTTGTTTTCTAGCTGGTCCATTAGCTGGCGTTTGCTGATAGACCATTTAGTACCGGCGTCAACCCGTGTTGATATATTGTTAACAAAAACGTGAAATAAAGCCAAAATAAATTAAAGGGGTCATATGATGCGATTCTGGTGCTGTGTGTTTCGTAGTGAAAGCGAAACTACTTTGTTTGGCCTTCCAAAAGAGGACACGACTAGAAATCAGTGGTTAAGTTGTATTTACAACACTGTTCCAGAACAGTTCAACCCAAATATTCAGATGTATGCAGCACATTTTATGGAGGACTGTTTCCTGATCCTGGGAGAGTAGACTACAATGCCGGCTGTTCTGCCTCACAGACTGTAAGTACATTTTTTATATTTAAAGAATTTGCCACTGATGATTCAAACGCGGGTTTTGAGCAGTGTAGAGTAGGCCGTGTTGTTTGTAATTTCTCCGATCACAAATGCAGACATGGTTTTATGTTTACACGGCGCGATGCAACGCATAAAAAGACAGTATAAGTCAGTATAATCCGTAATTATGTCCCCACTGGATGCAACAAATGCCTTGTTTATAATGGGTTTTCATGTTTTTGAATCATGGCTCCGGCCTGACAGGGCATCACAATATGGTAAGAGCGTAACATTTGTTTGCCCTCTGATTTAAGGGTTAAGGGGTTGGGATTGAGACCTACAAAAATTAATTGATGTTCCAGTATTTAATGTAACAACAAGAGATGCTGATCGAAGAATACATGTCTTATCTAAATCACACTGGGAAGGTTTGCTAAGATTGTAGTAGATTCAATGGATATCTAATAAACAATTAATGAACGTGTTAAAGAGCTTGTGATTATATGCACCCATTTTAAAGTCAAGATGAAGCAGAAGTAGCGACAGACCTCTTCTTCTATATAGTAATGTACGTATATGAGTTTAACGGATTATCAAAATAGGTTTAAAAGGGGCTTAGCATCAAGTGATTGGATGTTGAGATGTGGATGCAGTTGAGCATGAGCTTGCAGTGGTGGGACTAAATGAAGAAGATCTGCATACGTCACCAGAGAGAAGGAAGGTCCAGTTATGACATTGTGAGTAAACATCAAGAGGTCAAAAAAAAAAACATATGCATGGATGATTTGTTCACAATAATAACAATAGCATGCATTCAGAGGCTGAGTTTGCACTTCACACCGACTTGAACACAATATACATTGGTTACTATACAAGAACAAACTGCTTGTAGAAAATCTAAATGATCACATCAAAGCCTCCAAGATGCTTTGAGACCGTAATGAGTTTCAGAAGTATTTTATTAGCTTCATAAGCTTCTAGATTTTTAACAAAGGTCAAAATCAATGTGTAAACCTGTGCAAATCGTCCTTATGGGCGAGAAGAAGCCAATTTTTACAACACAATGCTATATTGGGAGTATTTTCCACATTTTTAGTAGAGATCTTGGTAAACCGTAAATATACTGTATGAAATCTCACAAATAGATAAGCTGCTTCATACTCCAACAACTGCCGGTTTCTCTCTCCACCCTTTCGTTGCCATGAAGTTGAATAATAGACAGTACTGTGAATCTCGATATAATTTTACAAGAAATATGCAAAGGTTTCAAGTCTAAAAACAGAACAAGATAAAGAACAATATTCTAAATACTCTTATCATCTTGTGAACCACAAAACATGTCTACACGGTACACCGTATGGATTTCAAAGTTGGCCTTGTATTTATAATACTGTAAACTCACATCATCACAGTTTGTGCTTCCACCATGTAAACACATGAGAGTTTGTCATATGACATAAGGGAACAAATCTCCCCGTACACGGTGGTCTAGCGTGATCTTATCGTCGAGAACTTGCTTTCTACAAACAGCCGCAGCAACAGATCGGTGACTCAGAGCTGTCTGAGAGATGGAAAAATGAGCTCAGATACTGTACATTTAGCATAAACGATTCTACGTTCTAAACACAGTCAAAACAGCCTTCTGCACGATTTAATGACAATGAGCAATAATAATGCAAACTTGGGAGCGCTGCTTTCCATGGTGCACAAACATAGATTATATCTGGAAGGAGTAGGGCACAGAATATACAGTGGGTCTCGGCCTGACAGTGACTCACGTGAACATCAACACATCAATCTACAGGGTGCTCCACGAGGGTTTTCGACAGGTACACTTCTGCCGATGTGTCAAGATGGACATTGTCTGAATGGTTTGGAAAGATCCCTCTTCCATGTACAGTTACGAGTGTGGCTGTAGGAACTCTGGAATCTGTGTGAATCTCTTCCCCTTCACATGGTCTCATTGTGGCCGGAAGAAAGGTCTCTTCTGGGGGTGGAGGCGCGGGACGACCCCTTGTCCGTGCTCTCGGAGCTGGAGCTCAGGTGCTGCTGCTCAGAGCCAGCGCTGGAGGTGACAGTGGAGGAGGAGGTGGAGGAGGAGCGAGTCTTCTCCTTAAAGTCTGTGATGATGACAGTCACATTGCCCACCGTTATAGCGAGCTGCTGAGCCGAGCTCCTGTCCACGTTCTTCAGTTTAGGTCTGAAGTGTAACAGAGGAATGGAGAAAGAAGGAATTACACATCAACTATTACTGCACCGTTCATTCGCGTAAAGACTATTAAATGGATAGTTCACCCTAAAATGAAAACTGTCATCAGTTACTCACCCTCATGTCATTCCAAACAGTGTTAATATTATTAATGAAAATAAAATGAAAACCATATATTTTAAGGGGGTCTGAATACTTTCCGTACCCACTGTATATAAAATTTTTTAAAAAATTTGTTTTAATAAACATTATTTCAGCTGGTTGCCAAGGAATCATTTCTTATATCTTTTAATTTAACATACTAAAATAACTACAATTGAAGAACTATTTAGAAAAAAAATGATTCAAAATATTAATAAAAACTATATCAAAATAACACAAATGGTTCCAAAACCGTAAGACATTCCTTACCTGCAATACACAAAATAAAGATATTTTAATGAAACCTGAGAGATTTATGTCCCTCCACTGAAAGTTCATACAACTAAAACTTTCACACATCATAAAGTACAAAAAGATTCACATATAAACACTGATTAACACATACATAGAGCACATGGAATATGGTAAACTGAAGCTCAAATGTGCGAGAACCAATCAGGGTTGTTTTTGCATGTACAGTTGAGTTTCTGTAAATGCTTGATGTGTTTTATGTATGTGCAATGATCTTTCTTTTTCTTTTTGTCTTTCTTGTGTGTTTTGAACCATCACATTAGAATTAACATTTAATGGAGGAACAGAAAACTCAGAATTCATCAAAAATATCCTTATTTGTGTTTTAAAGATGAACAAAAGTCTTGTGGGTTTGAGAAGTAATTAATATCAAAATGTTAATTTTTGGGTGAATTAACCTTTTAAATATAAAGCAAGTTAGTAACGTTAAAA